TCAGCATTTGTCAACAACCAATCACAAGACTGGTTACGAGTTTAACAAATATGAGCTGGCTGGAGCCTTCATCCCTTTTCTATTTCTTACACTAGATACCAGCCGATACCCCCCCACCCCCCACCCGCTCATAGAGACTGCGTATTACAGTTGATTATAGTTCCTGAGTTCCCTGTTTGTATACTGGATATAACTAGCATTCCAACTAAAGGTCATTTTTGAAACTGACCAAAAGGAATCCTTCACAAATAATTGAATATCAATTCAAAAACAGAAGTACAATGTAATTTTCAATTATTTGTTGGCAAAAAAGTGAAGAGCAGTTAAATTTACAGTCCTGGACATAAAGCATTGTAAGAGTGGGTAATATTTATATTGACTTATCCATTGTCCACCCAAACATACCTTCTATGGAAACAGGAGCCTAGCAAATTGATGTGCCATTTTAGACAGAAAGAAACAACCAAAAAGCAACAAATTAATGTCTAGGAACACAATTTATCTTTAAAAATCTTAATTAAACTTCAGCAAAATCTGGTTAAAATTCATAATGTGTGCAGTCAATATCAATTGTCTATCGTTTTTTTTTTCGCTGAAGGGTCAATGTTTTGTGATCGTGCATGATGGTACTTCTATATTTATATATACCGGTATATATATCTGGCAACTATAAGCAGCATAGATATTGTTGTTGTGTGGGAAATCCATTACTATAAGACTGCAGGCACTTACAGATTTGGGGCATCTTAGTGGAATTTTGATACACATTATTTGTCCACTACGGTATGAACATTAGCAAAAACCTGATATATTTGTGACTGTTGTCTCTAGTAAACACACTAGCATGTGTAGTGAAAGATTTAATTAATCACACAATCACCAATGTGCACTTCAAACAACATGTAAACAATATATTTCACACATGTACATCGCATAGGACCATGTTAAACACAGTGTAGTTCAACGAATGTGATTCTTCAAATGCCGCTAACATTTATATATATGTACACAGCACTGGTCAATCCCGATGCAAAGTCTATTTCGGTTTTGGTTCAAGGCAATGCATGTAGCATTGCAATTTGGCAGTTCTGCAACTATCTGTCCAGAAAACATATCCCAAGTTGTCACTGTTCCATCATCTAGAATACAGGAGATGTAGTTGTCCTGAACACAACCATGCAGACAACTGAAACAAATAAGCATACAGTACAATTGAAGGATTGTTCATATATTTAATAGCTTTTAAATTCAATCTGTCCAGTTTTTTACTCAACATGACAAGTAATATATCTTCTCAAAGCTTGGATATAAGTTGAATATTGTGAATGGTGGTGAAAAAAAGTGATGTTCTTTATATGTGTAAATTTCATCAATTTTAGTGTAATTGCATGTCCTGTAGTGAGACAAATGCAGTGGATTCTTTTATGTTTTACCATTTTTCAGAAGGTAATAGAAATCAACTTTTGGTTTGCCCAAATTGCTACAATTACTGTTAGTCTTATTTTTGAAAGTTAATTTTGTTTAATTACAAATATTAAAACTGGTATTAATTTGGGGAAAATATATATACATTTCATTGTCAGAACATTTCAGAAGATTTATTGTTTGTCTGGACATAAATACAAAAATCCTTTCTTTATATTTTTATTGACTTGACATCAGAAAAGTCATCCAATTATGTTGTAGATATCAGTTTTATACAGACAATCATCAACACCCTTAGTTGCAATTTTTTACCAAAACTTCCTGTAGCGAATAAAGAATTTTTCACCTGTTCTTGGTAGAAATAGGAAAACTTACATCCAAGAACCTAAGGTTTTATTTTTTACAGGAATCTACATCTAATTTCCTGAATACATACCTTTTGTTTTCTGTCAAATTAGATTTATAATACTGATTGATCATAGATAATCTTCCATTCATTGGGTTTATAACAACTAATGTACATACACTACATTGTAGATTACCATGTGAGGAGGATACAGTCTGGTGTTCTGGCTGACTGCTAGGATCCTTATTTCCCAATAACACAAACAGCAAGCCCTATGAATTGAGAATTAATTATTGGTATACTAGTGTTAACTGTAAATGTGGGGTATCACATTATCTTGCTAAAATTACATGAAGCATACCCCGGTATGCAGAATCCTTTAATCCTATGTAAACTTAATTCAACACTTTCACCAGTGAAAAATTGAATGTCTCCCTAAACTGAACAACTTTCTTTTTCTGTTCAGTATGGACGTTTGCTGAGTCCTGTATTTGTTCTATTAGAAGCGCATCAATAGAAGTGCATGTGAACCAAAAATCTTATTTGTTGAATCATTAAAATATCACTTATTTTGACCACAGAAACCTATAATAGAGCAAATACACATATGGTTCTAGCTAGCTGCATGTATTCAAGTACTGGATTGGAGAGAGGGTCAATGAAATCTGTTCAGCTATTAGTGAGTTCTACATTGAACAGTGTTGGTAGCACCCGTGTATAATGTCTTCTTATAATAATGTTAGTACAAGCACCATGATAGATTTCATGGCATGATTTTGTTTAGTTTCTCCAATTTTACGATGAAAATAAGTTGATTATTCCTATGAAAAATATGTTAGCAGTCATTGCTGTTTCAATTCATCCCATACTCTGAGTCATCACACACAACTGATAATTATATGTCATTATAGAAAGTTTCTTCCATTCACAGATCAATTATTGATGCAACCTTTACACACAGAATAATAAATAGGCACACTCAACTGATTCAATCTCAGAGTACCATGCAACTGATGAAGTCAACTGTTCTTGCATATCAATAGTGAGTAGTGTGTCACCATTACAAGTATTCCTGAAAATAAACAGAATGATATATTTCAGATGAGTCTGGTTGATTAGGTTATCTGGTATTCAAATAAAATGATCCAAAATAATATTAATAATACCATAATCACATTGTTTACAGACTGAAATATTACTTATTTTGGCCATAGACACAACTCCAATATTCACATGTGCATACAAACATATTCAAAAGTATCACTGACGCATATGAATGTGAAATATATATATTAAATTATTTCCTTTGTTTACATCGAACACAGCAAAATTGTTGAATGTGAAATAGAATCATGTCACTGAATACAAACAATCAGGCAGAAGAAAATGAATTTTTGTTGGCATTTCGAGCTGTTAGCTTTCACTATACAGTATGACTACAAGCAAGAACAATTTATATTATAATACACATGCAGGTATCACTCAGGCAGTACAGGATAGCATTGATTTCTGCTGAGCATTGAATGATCCAATCACAGTACTGCCTTTGAGCATATTTTGTGTTATTCTTGTAACAACCTCATAATACAATGTAGTTATTTTTTGAGATTATATCCTCCATTGGAGTCTAGAATCAACAAACAAACAAACAAACACAACAAATTCCATACCATCAATGATACACACCAATGCTTGTGAAATGTGCTCATATAGTTACACTTACACATCAGAAGGCCATATCATGTATTAAAAGTAAATTAGCTCACCACAGAATTATCTTGTTTCTAGTTGTACCCATGACTAGATTCTCTTCACCTTTGACTACAGACAGTGATGTAACTGATGAATTACCAGATTGCATACACACTATACCGACTACCTGTCTAGATCATAATCACATACAAAGAACATTCATTAATAAACATACACAGTGACATGTACATCCTTTGTGTGTACTGTTATATATACTATATGGAAGCAAAAAATAATTTTTGTTTCCATATTTTGCGTAGCCATATGAAAAATTCAGATTTTTATCATCATTTTGAATTTCTTCATTTTGTGCTATATCAATGATGGTTCTACTTAAAAATGTGTACGCAATTACAATTTGTTTGTTGACCATATTGACATTCTTTGGTTTGAATATATAATAAAAGTTCCTGGCAGCATAGTACAGTGAAGTATGTACTGTATATGACATGTTTTAAAGTTTGATTGTTCCATATTCTATATCATATGCTAAAGTTCCTTTTGTACCCCACCCCCACCCATAATCTAAACCCTAACTCTACACCTACCACATCCAGTGCTCCCTGATTTAATTGTATATGTCTCTCCTAAAGATACATGTTCCTATAGTTATCTAAAGGAAGCATTTACAATTGAATTGGGGTCTTGGGATGAGGGTTAGAGTTAGGGTACAAAAGAAACTTATTCAGAACGTTTTACTGAGATCATTAAAGTTGTTTTATGGACAAAACTTAGTTTCAATTTTGAGTAACTTTGCCAAAAACCAAATCTGAAAGTTACAACGTTCAGTTACACTGATTGAAACCTGACACATATTACAACTAACCTAGCAAGTGTGTTATGTCTGTTCAGGCGCAGTGGTAACATAATTAAAATAGTTGTTCTATAAATTCGGAGTGGGGGGTGGGAGGCTAATTGCTATACAGGAACATGGTGTGCATCTCAGACTAATATGCAATTCGGTGACATCCTAAGTTGCTTGAAACTTATTTACAACTGAATCTGTCATATTCAGCTATTGGCAAGTGAAATCTAAAAAAATATTGTAACTGTTACAAATATTATATTACATGTACATGTATGTACATTCCCTCACATATAAATATAGATCATATATACACGCTCATGAAAATAACTTACCTATACTGTGTATCCATGAAAACACTGATCACTCTGAAGTCACTATACCCATTATTTAAAGACACAATAACTTGTCTATTAAGACATACCAGTGTTATAAACTCATCAGTATTGTCACACAGATCTAGAATTTCCTTTTCATTTTTTTCAAGATCAAATCTAAATACTCTGAAAGAAATAGATTGAGAGTTGTCAAAGCCTGTGGAATAATTTGGTACTTCACTGCCTTACTTGGTACATGAACACGCCAGATCACATTTCGCATACAATTCACTATAATTATTTGAGAATAATAGTCCATTTTCTGTTTACTGCAAGATCATGCGTTATTATGGAATAGAATGTAAAAACAGGACAAACAAAGGTCATACTGTCGCAGTGTCGTCAAAACATTGTGTTGGATTCAACAAACAAGTATTTTGCAATGAACATGAAATCACCTAATAAGACCATTCCCATTGTCCCTCTAGCAGTGATGTCTGTGATTTAAACGGAAGTCACAGCATTGATATTGTTTTTGATATGTGGTTGTTCGACAATAAAATTTGTTTATATTTTAAACGATGAACAACACTGCTTTCTCATATATGTCGCTAAAGGATGTGATAAATATCTAACCTAACACATGTTTGCTGTAGTTTGCCTCCAACAACCACAATAAAGTATTCACTGTGTGTAATCACATCCATTAGAGAAGTTACTTCATTCTGAAAAATAATAAGATATTCAAATTAATGTTACAGAGTGAATCTGTGTTTTAATCGATGAGCAGGCGGCATGTGACAACGAGAGTGCTGCTAAATGAAAGACTCTCCTTGATAACTGCATAATAATTCTTTTGTTTTGCGACACGATTCAAGTTGACCTAGGTTAAATGAAGTTGATAATAAGTTACCGCTACGTCTAGCTAAAGTCGCATTGTTTAACGCACTAGAACCAAACAGCTTATGGAAAAGGATGAGTCATTACTATCCTGAGTTGCCTCACTCCTGTGATGTAAAATCGCCACAATGTCCATTGTTTTTATCACTGTTTTTTTCCTAAATAAAAAATATCCCTTAATGCGTCATGCATCACTACAATTGAGAATACAAAATTTTGCAGCATTTGACAACAACGGAATTTTGCAGTATCAGTTGTTAATATATGTAATGACATGTTTTTTGAAGCTCCACCAAAACAAGTGATCACGGTGCCTTTGCCTTGAAGACAAGCGAGCGTGATGTGAATCACAAACCTTAGATCATTGACACATGTTGTTCTACAATGTTGTTTGCAGATACATTACAAGTCAAGTGTAGATTATCCCCTAAAACACAGGGATGTCTATAAAGGAGTCAAAATGGCTGCTATAATAGAAAGTTTTTTGTTTTTTCCCTGATTTGAGCATTTTAAAACTGACTTTCCTTATAAGAAGAACTGTTAAGGTGCAGAGGGAATAACATCAATGACTATAAAAATCATTGTCAATAAATTTTAAATTGTATTTGTGACACACGAAATGGGTTTGTTAAAAAACTTATGTTATCTCCCAATTTCAGTTTTGCCTGCTTCGACTAATTTTTAAATTTGTTAAATAAGAGTGGTCGATTCGTTAGAAATTTTCATATCTTGTTCAAATAAATTTCAAAATATTTTAAAATTATTTGGCCACAAGTTATTCACGTTAGACAATGCGTGATTTGAAAAAATGTAAAAAAAAAAATAACATAAAAAAATGGTGAAATAAACAGTCAGCTGCTCATGCTGCATCAAACACATTCGCACACTCAAAGCAAACACCCATTGCTTAAAGCATAGTGCGTAAATCAGAATTTTCATTTCGATGGGTTATCCTGACAAAATAAAACACACTAAATTACAAGTCCCCATGGTGAAACAAACATTTCTTTTTGTCTTATATGATGAAAGTCTCTATCATGAACCATAACTGATGCTCAAACTACATGTATGGTTGAAAGAACACATCAAATTCCATATTATTCTCACAGTACCTCAAGAAAGGAGTGCGCCATTACAATTGTCCAGTCTTCAGTGATACTATTTTCCATCCATATGGCAAGAGACTGTGAGAGACATGTAACAATGATATCCACTGTCTTAGAATGATGTACAAGAGACGTGTAGTGGATAGATCGTACTTGCTCATTCACAGACTGGTGCTGTATGAAAGAGAAAATCAAATATAACATATCAAAACTAGCTGTAAACAATAGATGCAACAAGACACCGGTATGCCCTCTAAGCTGATATGATGCACATAGCTATAACCCAATTATAGTTATGCTAATTCACTGGTGCGTCATTGCAACAACAGAAAATAATACATTCAATAGCAATCTTTGGCTTGAAAGACATTTTACTATAGTTATGAAATTTGTAACTTAGTAAAAGGGAATTCACATTTTATAATACATATGTGTAAAAACAAAGGAAATTGGGGGCTACAACATTTTCATTTGTGCTTCCAATCACCTAGTCACATACAATTTTATATATTTCTTGAAGACCTCTCCCTAGCAGCCAACAAACTGACTCAACTTGATTTGGGAATTCTATTTTGACTCAGGATCCCCACAAAATCATTCCTGTCAAAGGGCACACTCTCACTCACTCATGGTAACCACGCTAACATCATGTCCCATAAAATTGGTTAGAAATGATTCCGAAGTTACTTCAGATTGGTAAGATACTATTTCTTGCATGTACACCTTTTAGAGTGAACAAATGATAAGGACGTACCTTCAGGCATGCGGCAAATTGTAGAACATCAAACTGTTCATCATGACTACACTGTGACTGAGATATAGATGGTAGAATAACAGGTGGGACGTGTACTGGTGATAATTCTGGTACATCACTGTGCTGGCTCTGAGGATGTTCTCTGTGTGCAAATGGTGGTGGGTCATCGGTAGGGAGATCTATACTAGGTTTTGTAAATCCAAGCTTGTCAGAATTACTAGAGTGAGGTATGTTTTGATATTCAATATTATCAACAGACTGTAGCATGAGTTCATTGCTATTATTACACACAGTGGAATCTTTGAGGTACTGTGGTTCTGAATATTGTGATACAGGTTTCTGTGAATACTCAGCCTGAAATATTGACATCTGTGGGGAATCTTTTTCTATAGATACCTTACCAAATGGGTCACTTTGGTATAATGCAGTTGTCCCAATGTTGTCTTGGATGCGGCCATCCACCTCTCTGCGTGGGACACTCTTGCACTGGAGATGCCCTTCCTGACTCTGGTCCTTCTGGTTAACAAACACTGGGCTATCTCCAGTTTGTGGGAAGGAAACCGGGAACACTAAATTTCCACTGCTTTTCTGACTAGCAAATAAAGTGTTCCTTTCTGACTGCTCAAACTTTCTCTTTTTCTTTTTTGGTGGTCTTCCTCTTTTTCGTTTAACCCCAATGGTATTTGGTTGCTGTAATATTACTTTACCTTTAACTGCTTCATCACTGCCACAATCTTTTTCTGAATCCTCTTGTGTGCTTACAGTAATGCTAGAATTGTTCTCTCTGTCTGATATCAAATAGGATGCAGGAGAGCCTTCCTTTGCAACTAAACAATCATCACTATTTGCACTAACAGATTGGCTAAAATCAGGCAATGGAAGACAAACCGGATATGACAAATCATCACTTTCTTGTTTGCTCTCTAGTACATTTTCTTTCTGAGGAAGCCTGTTTTTTAGTACTTTGGGTGGTCTGCCCCTGCCTCTACCTCTGCCTCTGCCTCTACCTCTGCCTCTACCCCTACCCTGTGGTTGCTTATCTTGTGTAACTTTTGATGGTGATGAGACAATGTCTGGGAGACAGGTTTTCATTTCAGTCATGTCATTCTCCATTGTGAGATTATTTTCTTTGACACAACAATATTCCTTTATAGGCTTTTCATCGGTGCTGGTCAAAGAGCATGAACTCTCAAAGGAATCACTGTCGATACGTTTCTTCCAAGACCTAGAGAGTTTACTTCTTATGCGAGATGTTTTTCCACCGTTGCCAGCTATGGAACTACTGACACTTGATGCACTGTCACTATCACAGTTACTTTGATTAGCTACTAGTGACTCTACTGAATAACTGGCATTACTGTACACCTCCTTTAGCTTACTCAGTTTCAGGTTACAAAAGTCTTGATCTGGAAGAAAGAAATCTTGTATTCTGTTGTCAGTTAATACACTTGAAATAGCAGGAAATACTTTGCCATCAGTGTCATATTTAAAATTATCTTTTAGTTGCTGTGTATCAACAGTTCCAGAATTAGAGCTACTAGTCGTATAGGAAAGAGTGTTAGTTTCATAGTCACTGCTTTCATATTTGATTATTGGTTCACATTGTTGATTATAAGCACTTTTGGGAGTTCTCCTTGATCTTCGACGACTGGCAGGTGTAGGTTTCTGTGACTGTCGACACTTCCTGTGCCTTGATTTGACCATTTCACATGGAGTCATGTAGAGTGGTGAGACAATAGGGTTATCGATTGATTTAAACCGGGAGCAGGATGGAGTTGAAACTACAATATTTTCCAATTCAGATAATTCCCTGTTGTTAATGTGTATCTGAAGATTGTCAGGTTTATTTTGGACTGAACCTGACATCCGTTCAATGACACCAAAATTATTTACTGGTGAAGCAAGTATTCTTTGTTTTTCTGGTATTACAATTTCAGTATCTGTAAAGTTTTTTAGTTGAACTTGCTCTACACATTCCATATCAGTCTTTGAGTTACCCTGTAAACCAATAGATTCTGAGTTATTGCTTGTAAATCGTTCTAAGTCAGTCATTCGTTGCATTTCGCTGTTAACATTGGTGATATTGTCTTCTGCTATCAATCCAATAAGCAAAGATTGAGATTCCTGAGAGTGACAATCAGATAGATCTGATTCTGGAACTGCAGTTGGACTCACAGAATGAAGATCCTGACTACCAGGAACTTGAAAAACTTTGGCAGTATTGGCAGGTTGTTGGATATTTTTTGCAAATCTCTCTGAATTAACTTCTTGTACATGTAATGTATTTGGTTCCTCTGTTGTGTCATCTTGCATCTTGTTGTTCTGATCTTCACATTTGTCTCTGATGAATGATTTAGTAACATTGCAGCTATTACTGACAGACTTTGCAGATTTTTCAGGTCCAACTACTGAATCAGTCATTTGTAAAGTGCTTTTCTTTGTTGGCATTTCCTGTTCATTCAAACATGTGGAGCATGAATCAGTTACAGAAGTGTTTTCCCAATTAACATCACCACTATCGGTCGCAGTTGGACATGAAGAAATGTTGCAAGCAATTGCAGTTAAATCAAAAGTCTTAGAGGAACTGCATTCCATCCTAGATTTCACATCATTTGAACTTGTCTTGGTTAATGGAGAGAAAAGTTGACCATTTTCTAAACCATCTTTTGTAGATGATTTCAAGGGTGTACATGTTTTATTTTCATTTGTATTTGCTAAAACTGTATCAAAATTGGACAAAGTTACACAGTGACTGTCATCTTCAGGAAAATCACATTTTCTCTCAACTGTTGATGCCCCAAGACATATGCTCTCCAGTGAGGATAAATGGGCTGCATCATCACTTTGATTCCTTGATTCAACTGGTAATTCACTAACATCACAATAATTTGCTGTATCAGTTTGTGAGAGATCTTCGAAAAGATCTTGTGACTGAACCACCATCACATCATCATCTGCTAGATTGTTTTCATTAAGCAAGAAAGTGACGCTGTGCCTCTTAGTGGAGCATTGTCCCACCTTCCTAATCTGTGTCTCTCCATGACCTGTACATTCAATGTCACATGAACACATATTGTTATTTTCCACTGCTTCAAAAACAGATGGTAATCTTTTTGATATTTCTGAGTCTGATTCATTTGCTGATGATGGTTTGCCAGGTGAACATTTATTTGATTGTTCTGCTAGTCTTTGTCTTACATGTTGTTTGGCAGCAGCTATTCTATCACATTTCTGGATAAAAAAAAAAATTTGATCTGTGTTTTGAAAATTGTGGCATTTTTTTTTGGTTAAAATATTTGATGGCACACAATTCATCAACAGCGGGCACTGCAAGTGGGGCAAAATAAGTGCACACACTGACCAGAAAAGTTATTTTTTGTTTTGGCCTATTCTCTTGTGAATTAATCAAGATATACTGCAAAATATTTTCGCCTGGAATTAATTTTTGTTATTTTCGCTGAAGGAATTATTCAGTGAAAATAAAATCCAGCTAATATACCTTTTGTCCTTTATGTTACATCCAACTGGTCAAAAATCAGTGAAAATAAACACCATACAAGGTATCAATCAAAGAAAGCTTAGAAAGAACTCCCGTGTGCTGAGAGTATTGAATTAAAAATTAATTCAAAATTACTTGTACATGAGATATTGATGGAAAAGCTGAAAATTAATTATGTAAATCAGATAACTAATATGAACAGAACAGAACAAAAAAATTATGAATTATTATGCTAATTAGAGAATTAATATGAACAAGTTTTAACCCAAAATTAATCAGGCCTGTCTATTGTCCCAGAGCATTTATGTACCAAATTTTATTCAAATGTGATGATCAGTAATTGAGATATCAGTGTTAATTAATTATGTTAATTAGGTGATTAATATGCACAAATATGTACCCAAAAACTAATCAGGGGTCTGCACTATGTACCAAGTGTCATTGAAATGTGATGAATACTACTTGAAATATCAAAAGCTGAAAATTAATTATGAAAATTAGGTAATTAATATGTACTCATATTACCCAAAAAACTATCAGGTCTGTGCAGTGTCCTATGACATCTATGCACCAAGTGTCATTCAAATGTGATGATTACTACTTGAAATATCAAAAGCTGAAAATTTATTAATTATGCAAATTAGGTAATTAATATGTACTGATATTACCCTAAAAACTATCAGGTTTGTGCAGTGTCCTATGACATCTATGTACCAAGTTTTATTGAAATGTGATTAGTACTTGAGATATCAGTGGAAAAGCCGAAAATTTATTAATCATTATGCAAATTAGGTAATTAATATTGCACAGATTTTTACCCAAAACTAATCAAATCAGCGCATTAGTTTGGAGCATCTATGTGCCAAGTTTCATCAAAATCCAATGAGTGATTCTTTAGATATCAGTGGAACAGTCATGGAACAGCTAAAAATCAGCTAATTATCATGCAAATTTGGTAATTAATATGCATGGATTTTTACCAAAACCTAATCAAATCTGCGCATTGGCCAAGAGCATCTATGCAAGTTTCATCAAAAATCAATGTATGGTTCTCAAGATATCAGTGGAACAGACACACACACAGACACACAGACTAACTGCAAAGACTCCCTATTGTGCTTCGCACACGGGAGTCAAAAAGTTTTTTCAGCAAGATTTAAATCCAGCAAAAATAAAGTATTTTACAATAGATGAATGATTTATTCAACCACTGTATTGCGAATTAAGTCCAATGATCTATGAAGACATACCTGTAACTTTCTCTTCTTTTTGTTATATTTTGCTGTAACATCCGCTAACTTTTGCATCAACTGTGAATGACAAACAGTAACAAAACCATAATGATGAATACATACTCTCAATGAACCAATTACTGTTCACTGTGAGATCCTGCATTATGCACAAAATGAAACGTTAAAACAGGACAAACAAAGGTCATAGTGTCGTCGAAACATCGCATGGGATTTGACAAATTAAAAATATTTTTGGGGTATTTCCACAAATAATAACAGGTTATGAACATTTGATGTTTAATTTTGATGAAATAAAGATATCTCAATGCAATATTCACCACTGAAAGATCAGCATTTCAACATTGAGCTGAAATAAAAAAAAGAAATCCAGGTTCAAAATAAATCATTTCGTTCAAAACGCTACTTTCAGACATTATGCAAGGTCTTGTAGTGAACAGAAAAATCACCGTTTCCCATGAATAATGTTAATATTCCCATTACCACATATTGTTTCATTAAAAGTGTATTTCTTATAGAAAAGCACATAAACCAAAAATTGTACATGCAGTAATTAAAATATGGTATCACTCATCTGACCATAGAACACCACATGTGTAAGTGCACTACTAATAAAACAAATACGGGGTACTACACATGTTTGGATAGATTACAAACCCCTATCTCTTTTTATAACATAAATTGGATGAGCAGCTTTTAGTGTTTATAATAAAAAACTCATGAGACTATTGTTGAAAATGTTATCAATTACTGGAAAACAGAAGCTATCTAACCCAAGGAAATAAATTGAAAGACATCTAATGTACACAGTAGTACAGCCCCATGCATCTAGCTTCCTGAAAATATATACAATGCTATTACAGTTACATGTTAGTACACAGTAGTACAGCCCCATGCATCTAGCTTCCTGAAAATATATACAATGCTATTACAGTTACATGTTAGTACCACAGCCATCTTAAATTGGCCACTGGGTGATCTAAAATTCCTGTGATTATATGCCATAACCTGTTACTGTTATGGTATACATGTATAAAATCAATGTATACAGTGTAGGTACTGACAACTCAGAAAATGCAACAAATTAACTATCAAATACTATAATTATTACATTAATTTTCACTGGTTAAGTTTTATATTAAACTTCACTATTTTGATAGTATTCACTAGATTTTAAATAAACAGATTTTCCAGAATAAAAGGAGTTGGAACCGTTGAATTGAAATAGCAATATTAAAACCCAGGTAACTTACAGAGAATGTATTCAATTACAACATAATTAAACAAAAAAAACAAAACAGTAACAAATTTATTCAGCCAATCAACAAGCAGTAAAAGTCCAAGATGGGATGCACTCAAAAATTTCAATAAAGTAGTTGAAGTTGCAAACATGCCTACTTTTAATGTCTAGATGTTTCACATGCTTTAATCTTTTCACCACCAGTTCCCAGCGATTTTTTAGGCAGTTTTTTAAGGTGATACTTTAATCTTTTCTGATGCCTAAAAGTTTCATCGTAGTTATTGACGCTTATTCAAGAGTATTGATGTTTATCACGACTAGCGTGAATGGGTAGCTTCGTTTCGACAATGAGCTGTTACTGTTATCACTGTATACAATGTTAAATTATTCTTCAAATGCTCAGTTTATCTTTTGAAAACAACTAATTTTTTTATCTAAAAACAAATCATGCCGCTTTCCCATCAAAATCCAAGCCAAAAGATCATACAACAGCATCGGCAAATCTCTTCCTACCGCATTCAATAACATTAACATATTTAAATGAGCTATGGTAATTTGAACACATTGGCATCATCCATCGTTTTCATTGGTTAATTAGTGATTTGACCTGTCAGGTCAAAGAACACCGTCCCAGGTCAACCCATAGCGGATATTCATTTCTACAGCACTGAAAATGCGATCGGAATCATTCACTTACATGTATGATGAAATAAGTTTATTAGCATTTCATAACAATTCAACGAATTTATTTTTTGCACGTTAGTATTATAATCATTAAAAGGTAATAATCAACAATTGTGAAACACAGCATGACCGGATTGCACTACCGCGATCATTTGCTACTAAGCAATGCAGTTGGGTTCGTTTTTATTTTAAACTTCTTTTAGAATATACTTTCGTTACTAATAAAATGAAACAAAATAATTGTATTTGGCGCACAAGGTTCTTTAATGTGATTTTTTTGGAGAAAGATGTGTGGTCCACTTTTTAATCTAGAAAAAAATGTATAAAATTTTAGATTAGCTTCTGCAATAGTTTCTATCGTTTTGGGTGGTCCAACTGCCGGCATTGAAAGTCGGCATAGGTGGATTTTTCAATGAAAATATAAGCCCACCCAAAAGTGATGATCAGGGCGAATTTACGGCAGAATCCGATATAAGGAAAAAAAAGGCACAAAAAAATTAGGGCAAGAAACTCTGGTGGTGAAAAGTTTAACAATGTTAAAGTAGGATTGGACTACTGTAGAATACTTTATTTTCACTTGGAATTTATTTTTGCTATTTTTGCTGAAGGGATGATTCAGTGAAAATAAAATCCAGCGAATACACTCTTTTTCCTATGTTTCACATTCAACTCATCAAAAATCAGTGAAAATAAATGTATATCACAATAATTTAAATCTTAGGGTTGGCTTACAGCATTTGAGGGAAAACAAGTTTTTTAAAATTACTTTTCAGAAAACAAAAAAGTAATACTATCATGACCAAAAACATGTTTTATTTTTTTGAAATTTTAAAGCCAACCAATGATTCAACAAGTGCAGTGCGCAATGTGGTCAGGCATTAGCAGAAGAGCTGAGCCAATCACAACAAATTATTTCAGTGTTATTCAATTAACCAATTGAAGTGAAAATTATAAATATGTATAAAAACCGAGATAAGAGGTTTGTGGTTGTGATAATACCCCACATGCCAACTTACAAAACCATCCTCAAAATTTCAGATGTGTAGAAATATAACAAGTATGAATTATTATGGATGCCAGAGACCAAATAAGTTAATAACCAATTTTTTTAATAAAACAAACTATAAATTTGAAGATTGCCTATGCTACTGAATTCCATTCAAAATAATACATGTAGCGCTCAGTTTCTTTAAAGTGCCTGTGCAATGCCCACCCACACGCTTCCCATTTTAGATCTGTGCCCCACTGAAATGGGCAATTACTGATTTTTTTGCTGAAAATGATTACTCATATTCAGGTAAATTTGAGATCGTTCCCGTGCTGTAGCCATGCGCACCTATCCTGAAATGGTCGGCTGTTTCCGAATTTTCGACTCTCGACGAAAGTGCGCCACCAAATGCTAAAATATGAGAGGAAGCCATACCCTTGGGCCGTACTTTTATATTACTGTGTCATTCAACATACTTTTAAACGATATACATTTTTTGATTGGCGTTTCTTTTTTTTTTGTCTATTTTATTTTTGAGAGAGCAAATCTTTTGAAGTTGTTTTCACAACGAACATTCATGATGGTTAAACGTTGTGTTGTGGGCGGTTGCAGTAATGCGTATTGTCATAGTATAAGTATTTAAACGTTTCCAATCGATCTGAAGGTGCGAAATCGGTGGACGAAAGCTGCGAAAATAACGAAAAAAGGTTGGGATGGACTTCCTCCTTATAGCCACATATGTAGTGTCCACTTCACCTCAGATTCTTTTTTTCGAAAAACTGTCCTTGTCCATGACAAAACAACTAGGTTTTAACGAGAAACACCGACAACTTAAACCTGGCGCAATACAAAACGTTGAGGCGGAGACACCAAGTAAGTGTTTCAAATGAGTTGATTTTTTTTGCAATCCTGATTATCGCTGTATAGAAACCACTCGTGTTATGTAAAAGGTAGCAGTAATTTTGATAATGACATGAAAACGAAGTGTCGGACAAACAGGAAATTACGCAGCCCTAAGGCTGTTTTCATTTTCGCAAGCTAAAAGTGTCTGAATTGTTCGGTGATTGGTGTTGAATGTCGAATTCACACCTTTGTTGCCTTTACTTGCAGCTTGATCTGCATAATATTTTAAGGAATAAGAATCCGGGCTTGGGCTGTCAATGTATTTTTTTAATATGATGTCATAATTATGAAAATCACGCTAAATCCACTCTGAATTTGTCTGTATGTGAGTTGCTCTCAATTATTTTTGTTATCCAATTAAACGCCACCATTCACGCACTTGTCCCCGTCATGACCCAACGCGTTCACCCATTACAACAAATTTATTTCCACGCGGCAGTGATTTATTTAGTAACTGTGTTTTGTCGTTTTTTTTTTTTATTATTTCTCTATTTTATTAACCACTATAATTTAATGTTTAGAAATTCAAAATATGTCTCCTTTTAATTTTGAATGTGTTTTTTTACTCAGACGATCGATGAAATAAAACAGTGTAGTGACGTGCCTAGTGACCTGCAGCGACAGTGTACAAACGTGCGCCGGTGATGGTGACGACCACGGTGACTAGCTACACCAGACCGGACATATTTCGCATCTGATTCAACCCCATGCAACAAACTTGATTCTTCCTCCACAAACAAGTACATAATTGGCAATTTAGTCAAAGACGAAAAAACAGCACAAGAAATTTGCCTTATTTACACGTATCGACAAGCTACCCAGCAGCTTCCCCTTCTGACGTCACAGGGGGAATTTCTGTATGCAAATGAGAAGCTAATGAGGAGCCTCGTTTTAAAATACACAAAAAAAAAGTTGCCGTAGACTGAGTTTAAAACGCATTTTTTCACTTAAAAAAAATAATTTATGCTTAGAAACATAAAAATTAATAATATTTATGTATCAATGGATAATTTCAGATGTGAAAATAGCAGCCATTTCACAGGCACTTTAAGTGGTTATTTTAAAAACCTGGAGAGGGTGTAGGACATTTTTTTTATTTTTGCAAATATTTTATTCACATACCTAGCAACAATTTTGACATTATCTTCTACATTTTTCTCTTCATCTGCAACGTTTTTTTCCTCACAAAATCCTCAAGCCTAGTTTTCAAATGGGACACCCCCCGGTTACCTCTAACCAGTCCCT